TGAGGATGCTCATTGGTGTAGTTGACAGCACATTTATCACTGTAACTTTTCACATTCATAGCAACAAGAGCATCGAACGAATTGCTAAATATAGCTGTAAACATGCATTTCTCACAAAGCAAACCTTTTCTGTATTCTAAAGTCTGCTTTCATGAGTAATTTGACATTTTGGAGAATACACTTTGTTTAAAAAAGCATCTTTTCGCAGGAAGTTAGCTGAGACATTAATACCATCATAGCTGTCCATTGAATATTAACCTACAGTAAACGTTAGCTTAGCTTATCATAAAGCCTGGAAGCAGGGGGAAACAGCCAGCTTGGCTCTGTCTGCAGGCTGTATAGCTGGTTCCCCCTGGGGAGACTCTTGACGGACCATTACAACCTGCAAGGCAAGTGTCACATTACCGCTGGGGGTAGCTGAGATAATCTCAAATGAAATGTTGGTTTGCTACAAGTTTTCAGTTTGTTTCATCATTGTTTCATTTGTGTTTCTAACAAGCTTTACTGTGTTTTTCCCTTTGCTGCAGGCTATAGGCTTTTAACATTTTTCCAAGGACAGTTGTGTTATGTGCGTCCTCATTGTTAACCTTTTTTCTACAATACAAGTAGACAAGCTGGCAAGGCTATCAAAAACCACCCGGCTGTCGGTCGAGAGTCTCTTTCGTCCTGTTTCTATTAGGTTATATCATATATAAGCCATGTTTAGCTTGCAGACATAACAGAGGTATTCTTCGCACCTGACTCTTGAAAAAAAGCAAATAAGGCTACATTACGGCCTCAGCCCTCACTTCTGATTTATTACTCAGATCTTTTTTTGTTTGGCTGTTCACATTAGTTAAATGTGGCCTATATCAGATTCCAGTGCAACAGGTCAGATCCTGAAGTGACCCCTCTGACAAATGTCAATCTAAAGTGAAGTAAAAGTCACATTAATTCTGAAATGACTGTTCACACTAAGGTCAAAAAATTCCATTCCATGTGATGTGTGCTGTTCACAATGTCATATAGGAATTAACAAAAAATATATATTGCATTTTTTGGAAATGTTTAACTATTCCTGTGAAAACTCACCTAAAAATAACCTGACATTTCTAAATATTTGGTATGTTTTTTATTATTATTATTAATTTTCTCCTCCCATACATAACTCAATTTGGGAATATATGCCCTATGTCTGTGATTTTTCTGATTTTTTCACACAACACAGATACGGGGTGAATTCCTAATATTACTGATTTACAATAAGCTTCATCTTTCCAAATGGCTCTCCATGCTGAGTAGCTGGATGAGCTTCCTGCATTTTCAACCAAAATTCATTCCAAGCCCTCAATCACAATTAACCACTGCAGTCTGGGCAATTCTTAGCCCAAACAAGAAAGAAAAAAGCTTGTATAAAAAAAATCCCCCCCCAAAGAAAAAAAAACTCTAATTACTGAGGCGTGGAACTAATATTACCTGCTGACCTATGTGTGTGGTGAAACATGGGTGGTAATTTGCAATCTTTTATTTTTTTTTACTTTACACTTTACGCACATTGCAGATTCACAGCAATTAAGAAAACAGACAACCTCTGCAATTATTACAAATCACAAGAGAAACCCAAGTAATACTAGTCCCATTCCAACATGGCTAATGTCAAGACATAGTTACCATGGTAATAAATGGCAGAAAATCAATTAATAATTTAGAGAATAATTGGTAAACATAGCAATCTCTGTACTGAAAGTGGTCTCAGTAGACCAGTTCCTCATCTTGAAAGACAATATAAGACCATGTAAGACACACAAAGAGTAAATGCTGATATATACAACAAAAACAACTGCCTTCAT